GTACTTAAAACGTGAAAACAATATTTTGGCTATAAGCGAGACTGCGCTACCGAAGTTAGATAACATTTCCATCTGTAAATTATCAAGTTAATATTTAATAATATGAATAGTTCGTTGGTTATTTTAGACTCCAGCAGACTGAGGTCGGGTTAATAGCACTAGAGAAATGATCATATAATACCATGATTCTTGCTTCAACCGATTAACAGTTATTAAGAAAATTAATTAGATATATTTTTCTAAACTTGAAAGATATTTTAGTAACCACATTGGTTTTTAAATATAATATTGATCATGATATTGTTTCACAAACAAATTATCATTATATTTATTATAATATATCCATTCTATCGATTATTATGATTATCAGCATTATTTTAACAATCAATGGAGTGTCGTGAATGAATAGCTTAATGTGCCTAATAAATTGTCCGTTATAAATATACATAATTTAACTAAAAAATATAAGGCATGTAATATAACAACCAATCAATAAAAATTTTGTTTTAATTCCAGATAAGATATTTTATATATTTTAAATATAGAAAATATTATACAATATGCATTTTTTGAATATAATTAATATTAGTATTACACATGTTATTTTAAATTATATAAATATAACGTTATCACATGTAACTATAAATATTATATAATTATTTAACATAACATAACGTAGAAATCTTTAAATCGCTCGTAACAAATTAACTTGTGAACACCTACTACGGTTTAAGTTGTAAATAGTTGTTCATGTACTATTTTTAACCCGTACTAACATTTTATTTAAAACATACAATTTTACTATGAAAGCTCTATGGGAAACCTGATTTGAGAAAAATTTTTACAATTACGTTAATCTTCATTGTTACTAGATTATTGCATTTTATTTTAAATCATACGACCATTTCATATACAACACACAATCATTGGCGCAACTAAATTGGGGCCTGGGGAAGTTCACATCCTTGTTCAGGCTCTAGATTTTGAGGCTTATTCAGTGTTTCGAGTGTGTCGTGTAAATCATCCAAACCAAGACTGTGGTATTCATCTTGAATAACACGTTCATAAAATGCTTCAAGTCTTTCAATTACGTAAACGTATATACTGTCAATATAATTTGTTTTTGACTTATTCTTTAAGCGTTTGTACTTATGCATGTATAATGAAAAACTCATAAAGGGTTTAGGAAAACTACAGCTTTTGTTAATATTGGCCGCCGTAAAACTCACTTCATCAATTAAGGTAGACATTTTTGTAAAAACGTCTTCCGTTAGCTTTTCGTCAACAAGATGTTTTTTCATCAAAATCATAAACTTAGCGTGTGGATATAGATCAATAAAAGCAAACACTGTTGCGTGAAATTGCATTATAATCTTACGGGTTTCTTCACAGTAATTTGTTTGACTTAAATCCTTATCAAGAAAAAGTCTCTCCATGTCATACACACCTTGGGTCATTTTGAGCCAATATCGGCCTAGACGCTTTGATCACATGATAAAGTTTACCCACGCAAAATGCAAAATCCACATTATTTCCTGTTTGCTTTTCATCTTCACAGCTATTCATAAAACCCTTCCAAGTCCTACCAATTAATTTCAATCGTTGAACGTACCTGCAACCTAAAAATAAGCTGAAATATTCTAGGTATTCGATGTAGTTGTCTTCGGTGATCTGATTGCTCGTTAGAATAATGGTATTCATTTTGCCATACTTCTGGTGTTTGATCTTTAAATCTTTTATTTTATGCCACCCCGATTGCTCGCGAATTATATTCAAAATATTAATGTACTTCTTTTTTTTACTGTCTGGTGTATCGCATGCCATATGAATATAAAAGATTGTAAAAAATAATATAAATAAACTAAATTTGAAATACATTTTTACGCCTATAGTTGACACTTTAAAAAAAAAAAAAATGTTTCTGTTCCTATAACATGTTGTAAAACGAATAAAATAGTTTTTTAGTATTTTTTTCACGAACAAGTGAATAATGTGAATTATTTTGCTGTAAATCAGTAACAACTGGCGAAAAATTACCTAAAGAACTACGTCAATTAAACCCAAAAAATACACTAAAAAATGTTGTAGATTTTTCAAACGCACTTTAAGGTCAAAACACATGTTTCTATAAAGTAAATTGAAGTCATATGGTATACAAATAATATTAAATTATAAAACAGCTTGGGCTGATATTTTAATTTCAAGTTGATACATTTGCGTTAATATTGGCTGCCATATTTATAGCTGCTTAAACGATTAAATCACTTGCTTTTAGAACATTTGATTTTTATTCTAGACCACCAAAGAATCAGTGAGTTTAATATACTTAAAACGTGAAAACAATATTTTGGCTATAAGCGAGACTGCGCTACCGAAGTTAGATAACATTTCCATCTGTAAATTATCAAGTTTATATTTAATAATATGAATAGTTCGTTGGTTATTTTAGACTCCAGCAGACTGAGGTCGGGTTAATAGCACTAGAGAAATGATCATATAATACCATGATTCTTGCTTCAACTAATTAACAGTTATTAAGAATATTAATTAGATATATTTTTCCAAACTTGAAAAATATTTTAGTAACCACATTGGTTTTTAAATATAATATTGATCATGATATTATTTCACAAACTAATTATCATTATATTTATTATAATATATCCATAACAATCGATTATTATGATTATCAGCATTATTTTAACAATCAATGGAGTCTCGTGAATGAATAGCTTAATGTGCCTAATAAATTGTCCGTTATAAGTATACATAATTTAACTAAAAAATATAAGGCATGTAATATAACAACCAATCAATAAAAATTTTGTTTTAATTCCAGATAAGACATTTTATATTTTTTAAATATAGAAAATATTATACAATATGCATTTTTTGAATATAATTAATATTAGTATTACACATGTTATTTTAAATTATATAAATATAACGTTATCACATGTAACTATAAATATTATATAATTATTTAACATAACGTAGAAATCTTTAAATCGCTCGTAACAAATTAACTTGTGAACACCTACTACGGTTTAAGTTGTAAATAGTTGTTCATGTACTTTTTTTAAACCGTACTAACATTTTATTTAAAACATACAATTTTACTATGAAAGCTCTATGGGAAACCTAATTTGAGAAAAATTTTTACAATTACGTTAATCTTCATTGTTACTAGATTATTGCATTTTATTTTAAATCATACGACCATTTCATATACAACACACAATCATTGGCGCAACTAAATTGGGGCCTGGGGATGTTCACATCCTTGTTCAGGCTCTAGATTTTGAGGCTTATTCAGTGTTTCGAGTGTGTTGTGTAAATCATCCAAACCGAGACTGTGGTATTCATCTTGAATAACACGCTCATAAAATGCTTCAAGTCTTTCAATTACGTAAACGTATATACTGTCAATATAGTTTGTTTTTGACTTATTCTTTAAGCGTTTATACTTATGCATGTATAATGAAAAACTCATAAAGGGTTTAGGAAAACTACAGCTTTTGTTAATATTGGACGCCGTAAAACTCACTTCATCAATTAAAACGGAAATTATTTTGAAAACGTCTTCGGTTAGATTTTCGTCAACAAGATGTTCTTTCATCAAAATCATAAACTTAGCGTGTGGATATAGATCAATAAAAGCAAACACTGTTGCATGAAATTGCATTATAATTTTACGGTTTCTTTCGCAGTAATTTGTTTGACTTAAATCCTTATCAAGAAAAAGTCTTTCCATGTCATACACACCTTGGGTCATTTGAGCCAACATCGGCCTAGACGCTTTGATCACATGATAAAGTTTACCCACGCAAAATGCAAAATCCACATAATTTCCCGTTTTCTTTTCTCCTTTACAGCTATTCATAAAACCATTCCAAGTCTTACTAGTCGATTTCAATCGTTGAACGTACCTGCAACCTAAAAATAAGCTGAAATATTCAAGGTATTCCATGTAGTTGTCTTCGCTGATCTGATTGCTCGTTAGAATAATGGTATTCATTTTGCCATACTTCTGGTGTTTGATCTTTAAGTCTTTTATATCATGCCAGGCCGGTTTCTCGCGAATTTCATTTAAAATATTTATGCACTTTTTTTTTATGCTGTCTGGTGTTTCGCATGCCATATGAATATGAATGATTGTAAAAAATAACGTTAAAAAACTATAATTGCAATACATTTTTACGTTTTCAGCCGACACTTAACAAAAAAAAAAAGTGTTTTATTTCTTTAACATTTTGTAAATAAAATAAATCAGAAACAACTGGCTAAGAATATTACCTATAGAGCTATGTCGTGTATACCCATAACGTACAGGCAAAAAGTTATGGTTTTTTTCAAACACACATTAAGGTAAAAAAACACTTGTTTCTATAAAGTAAGCTGAACTGGTATGAAATACAACAAATAATAATACAGTTTCTACTGTACCAACGATACTTGAGAGTTTTTTTTGAACTTATAATATTTAGTTATTAGTCGTGTATACTAACAAAACCAATTTTTTAATAATTTGTACGCATTTGACTATTTTATACAAAACATATGTATACAAGAATGGAGTGGTGTTTGAATTTCAAGTCGATTTATTTTCGTTAATATTGGCTGCCATAATTATTATTATAGCTGCACAAAAGATCAAATCTCTATTGTATTAGAGTACTTGTTTTTTTATTCTAGACCACGCCGGACTAATGCCGGGTTAAAAATGCCTCGTTCACCCTAATTAAGTACGGGAAATTTGCCCAGATACGTTTACGGTGAAAACGAGACGGGCAATTTATTTTAACAGTATGATAATATTGTTATAGCCATTATCGTAGTCCAAATTTAAGTATACGCTTTAGAAATCATCCGGCCGTCGTTGGATTTCGAGTCACGTTCTTGGCGACGTCCGACCGATTATTGAAACCGCAAAAAATTTTAACCATAGAAAATTTCCAATTGACTACCAAACCATAGCGCCCCAGTTGCTTTCTAAACACGTCTTATCCACCGTCAACTCCAAGGAACGTTTGCCAAAGATTGTTAGCTCCCAAGTAAGTATACACGAGAAGCTATTGTTTGAACAAATTTTTTTTATTTTTGTGTCCATCTCCTAATTTTATTGTTACCGATATTATCTCTTGCTAAACTAAGGCGCAATGTAATTATTTTTTTTAAATAGTCTAGTAAGCTCTAAATGCGTTTGGGATATTCTTAGATGTACATCGAAACACCCAAAAAATATCATACAACCTTTCCTCTGGAAGGGTTGAAAACTTTTTTCCTTTCCACACCCATCCGATTACTATTGTCTCCACTTAGCGCTTGCCTCTACAGATTTGCCTTTTTTTTTTTTTAACTCGAAAAAGGTTATTTTTAGCTTTGGTATAAAGTTGTGAAGGTATTGTACATACAATGATGTGTTTTTCTTTTTTTTATGTCTGGGCACACGATATCTTTTAAACCACTGAACCGATTTCTTTGTGTAGCAACTCTATAGATCACAAATCGTACTTAACTTGGCTGAAAATTAACAAAAATTCATTCCTCGTCATAAAAATCAAAATAAACACCTGAAAAAATATACATATTTTTCCAACTTAATAACTTTATAACGGTGCTCTATAAAAATTGTTTAACAACCAAATTCGAATGGAATAGTTTTTTACCACAGCACTACCGATAAACATTGACAGGCCAAAAAAATATCATAAGCCCTTTCCTCTAGTAGGAAATCACAATTTTTCTATATTTCATTTTTTCAACCAAAGTTTTGGGAATTTAGTTTTGAAAATTAGACCGAAAGTAGACCTATAATGGCACTATAACATCTACAACTTTTTTTTTAAATCTATGATTAATTTTTTTTTTTTTTGTTAGGAAACCTCCACAAAAAATGAGAAAATTTCACTTCGACGGTAGTCAATTTCCAGGTTTCTATGCGTGAGTGTAATAGTAATCACCCTAATACTAAAAATTAAATTTTTAAGCACATAATTGTCATTAAGTACAACGCTTACTTACTCCACTTACTACCGCTACTCGCTGTGTTACTGTGCTTGGTTTGTGGACTGCACTGGTTTGAACTTTTACTATCCACAGATTCGCATCGAAGCGTTTATTTAAAAGGGATTTTATCACTCTGAGTTGTAATAGTTTAATAAATCCATTAAGGTATTTGATTTTGTAAAACGGTGGAATTTAGACTTGCTCTGGAGACCATACGCGGGCCAAGGGTCAACGACACAATGCCATTATCCGGTGTGCACTTTTGGCGAAAGTAGTAGTACATTTTCGGACACCAGTACACCGCAGGATCCGGTCTTGTGATATGCAAATTATACAATACCGAAACACTGGTATAGTAATTATTATGCGCGTTTAAAACCCAACGGGTCAGCCGAAGATTATAATAAAATTCGGCCGGTCCTCTTGGCAATGGGCGTTTTCGATAGCGCGGTATAACGCACCGTTTAACGGCGTTCCGTTTGAATGGCATAACAAAATAACATATATGTATATATTAACCGTTCAAGTGACCACACGGGATGATCCCATTAACGGAAACGCCGTCTCGTGGCGGTTCTTTAATGGACCGACCCAACGCGAGAATAATTAAGTCTTGTATTCCGAATAGTAAAAATCGCCAAAAAAAGAAAAACAGAATAGCTGAGCCGATTCGGGCGAAATCAGGATGTTCGGAATAAATTCAATTGATAGGACAAAATGTTAGGACAAATAAAATAAATTAATTAATAAAAACTTTTTTAAAAACATGCTTTTCTAAAAAAAAAAAATATGTAAAAAGTAAAAAATATTTTTATAACAAGAACAATTTACCGATCAATTGTAGCAGATTTTATTTAAAATGTCAATTACTTTGAAAACAACCGAAGAAAATGAACTACAATTTCAAAATAATGTTAAACATCTTTAATTTTCGACTAAAAACAAAAGCATACCTAACTTAACTCAATGAATTTGGACTTTGTTGAATAGGGCCCACGCTTTTCTTTTTAGTCAAAAATTAAAACATGTAAAAACCGGTTATGATTTTCAGCGTTTTTACGCAGACACGATATTTTGGGATGCGTTCCCCGACCTAAATTATTACTCGACCGAGACCATTCATAAAGTCTAACACTTACACTGCGAAATCGTTTTTGACTTCCTGTGTACCAGCCAAGTACACAGGTACATCCTGTGTACTTTCCATTGAAGGGTACGAGGGGGAAAAAAGGGAAAATCAAATTTCCTGGTTTTTACTCTGTACCCTTTCCTCTGTGTATAGTGTGTGCAAAATGCAAGCCAGTCGAATAAAAAAAATGTGTTTTTGTCAACTCAACCGATCGGTCATGCGACTTATGCGTTTGACTGTTTCAGTTCAATCAAAAGAAGAATTTCAAAAAAAACAAACGGCCGCCTCGTGTGTACATGTGTACAAGTTAAAAGCGAAATCTTCACCGTTCGCACTGGCTCGGGTCAACGTCCTGAATTCCACGGCGGTCGGTCTCGTCGGTCGGTGAAAGTCCCCGGCAAATATTATCTATATTATTACTATTATATAGTCATGTATGTATATTTTTCGTGACGCTATTTTAAGTGTATTTTACACACATGACGTGATGTGACACACTATCCCCACAAACGACCTAACGTGCATAACGTGCTAAACCCGGTGAGTTACAACAACACTTACCTACATATGCCCAACAGAACAGGGTCAGGAACCCGGTAGAGGACTCTTCTACAAGGGCAATCCATAGAAAACACAAAAAGTCTCTAAAGACCATCACGGCGAGCACAACGGTTAGCGGACACTTACCCGTGACTGGGTAACCGTACCGGCTAAGTACAGTACTACTTAACCCGGCGGTATTGCTTGCTCGTGTTATATCGGCCTGGAGAAGCTACCGTATTACATTTTGTAAAATACTATATAACATGATAATACCTGCCGGCAAAGTATGATATTATTATTATGCAAAGTTATTCGCCATAAGCGTTTGCCTCTATAAATCGTCGACACTTCAACCGACATAATATTATTATTATTATAATATAATATTACCTCTGCTATATTATATTATACGGTAACGCACTGGCGCGGTGGCGGTTTGGAAATTTGAATAGGGGAAAAAGTATATTTTCTTGTTTTGGAACAGACCGGAGCCCATTTTCAAGAGAAATGTCAGTTTTTTAAGACTGTGTTGAAAATTGCGTTGAAGATGATAAATGTAGTGTATGGAATTTTCAGACTATTATTTGTTATTCATTTTGGTTTACAATATTTTCATACATTTAAATTTGAAAACCAATTAAAAATCTAAACGCAGACGAAAACAAAAAAAAAAAGATTACAAAAATTAGTTAGTTCGATAAACATTTTAAAAGTTAATATTTAAAGATAATATAAAAATATAAGAGGTTTTGAAGTTTATGATAAAATAAAGCTTATCTTATTATTTCTGGTCCGTTTTGTCTTGAAAAAAGTAAAGAATATATTTTTTTTAAGTAGTAAAAAAACAATGTTTAGTAAAATATTTATCAGGTTTTGTACGTTTTAATGATTAAGTGTTTGTCAAGTAGAATTTTTATTCCATTTACTTTGCTAAATAATTTATAATTGGTCTCAGAATTATTAATGTAGGGTTCAAAGTTTTTATTTGAACACCAAAAAAAAATGTGTTTTTAAAATACTTTATAAGGCAATTTATAAGAAAAACAGACTTGCTAGAAAAAATCTCAGACTCAGATTCGTTGAAACATTGTTTATACATTTTGCTGCAAAGTGATAACTTATTAGCTGAGTTTGAAAATAGAAGTAAAAAATATAAATTTCTTGATGAAAAATTTACATTTTTGTACAAATCAGAAATCAATTAGAGACTAGATCTGAAATACATGAACACGTCAATGCAATACTTGAGTTGTATTCGGATTATGTAAATGAAAATTTAGCAGACAAGTTTCAAGATTTAAAAAAATTCACCAGTCCCGAAACTTACTACAAAGTACTTAGATCCAAATATACATTTAGTAAACCTTTTTAGTTATTTATTGGAGAGAAGGAGGAAGTGATTAATTTTGGTATTATTAAATATTAAACGTTTTACTTTAAAACGTTGCGTGGCATAATAGTACAATTTAAAAGTGACTTTTAAACACTAAAATACTATATATAAAAATAAATACAAACACATTATTTTAACACAATTGATTTACAACAAATACAATTATATCATTACAAATTTAAAGTTAAAAAGAGAGGACAACACAATATTAAAATTTTACAATAAATACAAATACAGGGTGGCCCACAATGATTTGACAAATTAAATTACTTTTGTTCTAGTAAAAATTTAATACTCCATTGAACGGATCTGTTCTGACTTTGCTTAGTCTTTCTGTTAAATTTCATCCATTCAAGTACCAATGGATACCGCAAAAATGAGTTACTGGAGCTGCTGCTGGATTGAACTATGTTAACATTGCAGCCAAAGTTGTAAGGAGGGTACTAAAAAGTGATCAACAAGCAAGTGCGAGTAAGCGAGATGAAATAATTTGCCGAAAATGTTGACTGGTCGATAACCAGATGTGGATAATTTCCTGTAGGTTTACAGGTTATACGGGTTATAATGGTTTACATGATTATAGAAGTTCGTATGGTCACAAAGGTTATACACAAGTATAATAATGTCAACACACACAAAAAAAAAAACAACAATTATTTAAGTACAGGTTACAAGGGGTCATAAGGTTTGCATGGTTATATACAAAGGTCATACGATTGATAGGTACTCCAGGATCAGGCTTTTCATCTGTTTTCATTGAAGACCTCGACCATAACGACGAACTGCCATCTCTCGCCCCCAATGTCTTGTTTGTGTCTGCTTTGTATTGCTCGTTTGAAATAATTTAGGTGCAATTAAAAAGATATACTATAACAACAGTGTTTGATGGAACCTAACCGAAATGGACTAAATAGATATTTACTTTATGATAGATATTAACAAATAGTTCAACACGAAATATGTTTAATGTTTGTTTTGTTTGGCAATTTAACATTTTTTTTTTTTTATAAGGTTGATTAGTTGTACTGAAAAGATAGTGTTTGATGTGTGTTGTACATAATTTAAAAAAAATAGCTTCTTAATAGCTTCTACGTCATGACCTATGTACGAAAATAGTATTTTTAAAAAAGTTTTGGGGCTGAGTTAAATTTAAATCATTGGTGCAACTAGTGGTGGGGGGGGGGAGGGGGAGCTAAGGAAGTTCTGACCCAACGAATCCTGGGTCCAGGTATTATTATGCGATGCGGTTACACGGTGTGCCCGTGTATATTACACACCGGCTTAATGAGTATATATTATTATTATTATTATTATCGCTATAATACCAGAGACTCGGTAACGACCGAGACGTGATACTTGTTCAATAATTGCAACAACAATTATTACAATTATTATTACCTACTCCGAGTGGTCGTTCCGGCGGATTTTGTTCGAATTTCACGCTCATTAGGCCCGCGACCTGCGGTATAGGAGACACACCGTTAACATTTGCGGATGATACCGTGGTAAAAAAAAAAAAAAAAATATTATTAAGTATAATATGTGTGTGTGTGTGTGTGTGTGGCGAGTATTAAATATACAAGTACATTATGAATTGGCGTGTATTTAATGCTTGCACACGGTCTCGCCGGCCGCATGCCATATCGGCCGACGGTTTACTGTTATAATGAACGTCCTGGGTAGGTGAGGCGCATAGGTGGACCAAGAAGACGTGTTCGAGTCGTGTGTTAGAAGAAGAAGAAGTAGAGAAAAAAAATTAAATAAATAACCGCGAAAATTGGCGACCGCTAAAAAAAAAAAAAAAAAAAAAGAGGTGTGCGCGAGTTGAGATCATCTCGACCGGTAATTATATACTATTATATTGTATTGTAGAAGAACCGCGTTGATTGTACTATTATTATTATTATTTTTTTTTTTTTTTGGCAGGTTAAAACGGTAACCGCCACACACACACACACACACTGTTAGACCGAATCGGTTAATGCGAAAAATGGGCGTTAGTCTACGTTTTAGTCTACACTTTAAACTCGAAGCACATAATACACTAATATTAACCCTACAATAACATCACCGGCGATACAACCGAGAAAATTCAAAATAACCGCCGTTTATGTACAACAGATATTTGTTTTTATTTTCCTTTACCTCCGTGGAAATAGCTGTCGGATATTATTATCAAATAATCAGTGATAAGGTGTGATTAAGTGATAACAACATTAGAGTACCTACCGCGGTTTTTATGTGATCCGAAAGTACATAAGTTATGATGTTATTAATTAGAAAAAATATATCTTTTTCAGCAACTGTATTATTCAATTTTCTAATACACGGAACAAAAGGAAGTTTTTTAACAAGTAATGATCATAGTTTTATCAATTTTATTAAGTATCATCTGTGATACAGTATGCAACAAGCGAACACACATATGTGTATCACCTACGATACACTACGCATCAAAGGCATTGTCGAATCTCAAAATAAAAAACTGTTTAACTTATTGTTTAAGTTTTATAAAGTATGGTTACTTGTTATAGATTGGAAGTATAATAGTAAAAAAATTAAATTGGTTTTAACATATTACTAAATATTAGAACTGTAAAGTGGAAGTAAATTATTTTTTGACAACTATTAATGCATTACTTATCACGAGTATCATTTGTTTAAGTCTCACTCAGACTATACATTTTAAATAAAAATGAAAAAAACAATTTATTTAATTTTCATTAACCATTTAAATATTTGAAAAAAATTGTATTCAGCAAATTCATTATGGGGGAAATTAATCCATTCATTGGAGGGTTAAATAAAACCAAATAGTGGTTCCATTCTAACCACTCTAAAACCACTCTAAAAAAAATCGAAAAATGTCAACAAACTTTAATAACTATAGATCAGTGTGGCTAAGAAAAAAAATGAAAAAAACAACCTTCCGTAATACAATGTCGACAAATAAATGTTATCAAACATCTGTAATGTTATCACCATCAACCGTCTTTAACCAACTACTTGTTATCAGTAATATTCTTATCAGTTTACGTTATCATTGTAAATAGTGCGTACGAATTTTTCGGGCACTATAATTTGGCTCTACTGTATTAAGTTTAAATATCAATCCAAAATCGTTGTTTGAAAATTGTTATTTGTTTAACCATGAAGTGCTATAGAATTTTTTGTGGTGGTTTTAAAATTTAGACGTTTCAATTACTCAGGACAATCTATAACACTAGGTAATAATATATTGAAGATTATGAAAAAAAAAATATCTAAAATCCCGTTACTATCCGTTAGGTATTAAATAATAGCAGTACACAGTGCATAATGTATTTCTGTCAAGTCACTGGTAATGTGAAAGATAATAATTGTGTAGGAAATATAATGGAATTTTTTATTTTTGACCACGTCGTTAATTTTATGGGAAAATTCGTCGGACTCCGAATCTTCTAGTTATAAAAGAAATTTAAAAACCTAATATAATATTATTCTTAGCTCTACTTGTGAAGGACGACCTCATAGTTTAAGTGCGACATTGAATACACCACGAACACTTAATATAATATTTTACTAACTCGCTTACATAATATGCAATTACTCATACACTCTCGATATTAAGCGAATTATTACGAATTACCGAGAAATGAGTATTACTTGTCGACAACAGGCCTTGAACCCAGCCAAAAATACAACATAATTTGATACTTTAAAAAAAAAACCGGAATTTTTTATGTAATTCGTTTGGGCCAGTGATCTTTTTTTTTTTTATATATATTTAAAGACTCCTGCGCAGATAAAAAAAAAATAAGTATTAATAATTATAATAATATTATCAACAAAAAAAATGTGAACACCTCCGTGGACAGTATTATAGTGTTGAAATTAGCATAAAGAAATACATTATTATTAATGGCCGTTTTCAAAATCAACGTTGTAGACGTTGGCAAGAATTTCGACATTAATTTTTATGTTCTAAGTAATCTCGGACGGTAACCGTGAGTGATAATAATTATACACCTTAAGTTGGTTATAAACGATACTTTTAGGCACCCAAGCAGAGCGGTCTCGGGTTTATTATCGTATCTCTTGTTATGATAATTATTTCCAATAGTAGATAGATAGATAGATTTGTGCCACGCTGGTTTGAACGGTTTTTTTTTGTTGTCTGCCATTTATTTGTGACCAAACAAAACCGGACCAATTTTGTATTGTGTTCATGCCGGACAGCCGGCTACACGGTATTTATTAATTAATACCTTCGATACCCTGTCAGGGCACGTCGAAGGGGTTGAACATGAATCAACAACGATAATATATAATATTGTGTGTCTAGATTAATCGTGCCATTGTGTTTGCCCGAAGCATTAGGCTCGATCACCGGAAACGGGGTTCAGGGTGGATATATATATATATATATATATATATGTCGAACACAACAGCATAACATATTATAGGGTTATATGTGGAATATTTTTTCACCATACACTTGTGGGTTTTGATTTCCCGCCGGGGATCACACGTGTGTGGACGTGACAAATCCAATATTATGAGCAAAAGTATTTTTTTTTTTTTGTTTGCTTATAAATAATTGTATTTTTCATTTTTTTTTTGTTTTATTAGTATCCAGCCGAACAAATCCAGAGGGTGGCTATGTGTCAACGTTGTCATCATATATTAAAGGGATTGCCTATAGTCGGCCGCTTATGAAAATCATGTCGGACATCTTGAGAAATGGACAGTGCTGGTAGGTGTAGGGACATTTAATAAATTAACAGTGTAGCCACGAACCGCAGAAAAATAAAAACGGAATACCTGCGTTCTGACATCACTGCGGCTATGGTTAACCCTAAGTTATTCCCTTCTGGTTATTCTCTATGGAAAAAAACGTATCTTATCGTGTAGTAGAGTGCCAACCGGTCAACAATAAAGACTTTTTTTTTTCCTTTCGTGTGGTCACACTGGCTTTAGTCCTTCTGCTTACTTCATTACCGCAAACAAGCTAGTGTACGTTAGTAGTTTTTATCTTTATGTTATTATCACTTATTACTGTATTGTGTATTGTATTGTCGAGCCGGGCAAAATTTTACAAATACGTATTTTTGACACGATATATATTTTTTTTGTGAAAACATGGGTAGGTATCCCTTTTTTGGGGATTTTCCAAACGGTTAGAGAATAATTGTACATACATGTAAATAACACTTGACGGCAAGTTGAGGAGATTAAACCTTTTGCTACCTATCTTTCCGGAACGATATCGGTATTCGGACATACTGTTTTCCTGTATCGCATCTGTCAACCGGCACGAGGGTCTCTTTTGAAAATCCAAAAGGCCCCCCCCTCCCCCCGGTGTCGGGATGCCGTCGAGGATTCCTCCGGGATAAACGGGATGGAATTTCGTATAACCGTTGTAGCTGTTGTGATCCGATTAAAACCTGTCGCCAACGACTTAAGCCGCCGTCTGATGGTTTGGCAATTTGACTAACGCAATACAAACACAAAGCTGTGACACATCACTGTCAGCGCCAAAGTAATAGTTTTTAACCTAACAAATCCGTTTTTAACAATACGAATATTTTGTGATCCTTTTGAACGGCAGTTATCCAAACACAGAATAATAGTTAAATAAAACAATTAAGACTATTTGTCTCTATTATGATTCACTCTTGGTGAAAAATTGCCACAACTCAAAAAACATAGTTTTGAGAAAATTCAATTTTAAGAATGAAACAGCTTAAATGATAACTTTTAAGATCTTTATCGCTAATACTATGCAATAATAATTTATGTTACCCGTTGCTTGTTGTTTTAATTTTAACTAGCTTCTCAGTTGAATCTCATCCAGACACTAGAAATTGAGGTTAAGGTGGTAATCTACACCACCACATTTGGGTTTTGTGTCAGTTTCACCATTTCAAACCAAATATTTAATACGCCATAATGAGAAATGTGGCAGTTTTGTTTTTCTCGTTAAATTAATTTAATGTTACAACAAAAAACGTGACAGTTTAATATTTTTTCCACGTGTGTCATCCGGTTAAGAAATTTTATGTTAAAACGCCTTTAAATAAAGCACTAAAGCCGTCTTGATATTAACTATGAGAAAAAACTAAAATTCTACTACGCAGTATCTAAAAATGTGGCAGTATTATTTTTTTTTTCAACTTTAACTGAAAAAAAAACCCAAATTTTGAATTGTGACAGTCTTGCACCAAGTGTGCCATATGTAATAATTGACTTAATTGAAAAGATGAAAAAAAAATCGAGATAGGAATTATTAAGAGGGATAATTTAGACTTGTTTAGTATACAGTTGGAGTTGTCAACGTTTAATAATAATATGTAGGTGGTCACACCTAATAAAAATAACATTACACATCACTATTTACTCAGCCTACGCTTTTCAGTAGTAACTCCAAAAGTATTTATACAAAACTTATTATAGCGACCAGTCAGAAAACCAACTAAAACGTGATAAAATCGCTTCAATTGACTAAACAATTTCGAGGTGGCCATTTTACCTGAAGAATTTGTGTATAAACATTTCAGAGTGTTTAACGACTTGTGACACATTATGTTATGAGTAATTTTTTTTTTTTTTTAATCGTTAAATTTCACACGGCTGCAATTACCTAAAACTAGAAATTCAACTCGACGGCCATTTTGTAATAAGCCAAATAAAATTGTAATAAAATTTCGTAACAAACTATCATAGCCAGCTGTGGTTGAAAACGTTCCATTAAATAAGTACAATCATTACTACTTTACAATACATTTGTTCGGCAACTCGAACCTGTTAGTCACAATATCCGTTTTATGATTCGTCACCGTCGTTTGTCATCAGCCATCTTCAAGAATCTGACGCTTCCGGGCCAACTGGTGTACCTGTGAGTATAATCTGTGAGCAAATGTATTATGTCCAAACAAGCAACGGTGGGAAATAATAATATGTGAGTCACCAACGCGTTTCTCAGTTTTATTAAAATGTTTACAATCACTCTGCCATTCTGAACGTTATGTCGTCCTGGACCTGAATAATAATTATAGCACACCTCAATATTATGATCCACAGTTTTTACTCATTTATATGTTTTATCGTTATTGCATAGGTTGGCACTAATAGCGTATCATAAAAAATAAAATAGCTATTTCAAATTCATCCATTAAGAATACCCGTAACAAACCGATGTTATCTACTAGACAGTTGTTGTCCACGTGCATTCGTCTAGATGAGATAAAAACGTTGAAATCGTTCTAAACTATCCAGACTATAGTTTGTGCTACTAGACTATAGTGTTGTGCTACTAGGAATATTCCCCAAGGAATGGGAACAGGGAATATTTAGGAAATATTCTTCTACCTATATTCCTTAAAAAAAAAAAAAAAAATTTATATAAGTAATGTTTATTTTATTTTGGATTAGGTTCATTTTATATTTTATACTTATAAAGATATAATTTTGTACATATTATTATTTTTAAACTGCTAACTTTAAAGACTAACGTCAAGTTGTAACTTGTTTTTATTTTTGGCAATTTTTTTTAGAAGTATTTATCGTAGAATGTATTTTTATTGTTCAAATTATATATATATATATATTTGTTAATCAGTAATTAGTTCATTCAAGTGCAAAAATGAAATATTACCTAAATTTTATCCTAATGTGTTTTTTTTTTAATTTGAAATTTAATGTAATTTTAACAGATAGACAAGTATTAGTATCACACAAAGTCTCATCATGTGGGGTTTAATAAGCCCCAACACACTAACGAAGGGTTGAACAATTATAAAAATAAAAAGCTACTATTTAAAATCCAATTTTTACACCGAAGACCGATATTAAATGTATAAAACTTGAATTAGGTTTATATCTAATATAATATATTTTTGGAATCACAAAAAAGTCTTCCTTTTATTCTGTAATATGTGTACTCGACTCATATAAACAATTATTTATACAAATTATATTATTGTTCCCAATCAATTCCCGGTGTTGGGAATAATTCGGAAAAATTCCTGTGGGAATTTCTACGAAATTTCATTCTCTTCCCTGAAATTTGCACATTACCAATCCAGACAATGTACCGGTTTAAGAACCACACGTGCAGTCCATACCTGCAGTCTTTTGTCTTCCGACAGTTCTTATCACTAAAATTCGAGCACACGTGTCCCGGAATCCTTAGGGATATCACTGGAATTGAGATGGGAACAGATGCATCTCACGGTTGCAGCGTTGGCACTTTAAGCTACACGATGATCATTAGGATTGGGACTTTCTTGGTTTGTTTGAGACGGTCAGGTTGAGTGCATAATATTACCTATATTATATTCGATTTAGACATGCAGTTAGGTGGCATAGCGCAGTGCACATGTATTTTTTCCCCTCTTTGCCGGGGTTGTCTTTGGTGCATCACTCCCTCTCTCCAACTCTGAGGTGATCAGAAAATAAAATATAATCTGTTATTTTCCGTTGCCGCGCGTGTCGTTTGCACCGTTGTCCGCATATATAATAATTAAATCGCCTTCAGGTAATGAGTTCAAAAATAAAGCGATTATTTTTAACCGGCCAAAACGGTCGTGTCTCGGTTGATGTTGCAGAATATTGCGCGTTATCCCAAGACGTAGCTAGCACACCTATGACTCGTGTCTAGGATTTATTTTTTTAACTATTTCCCAGAAAAAATGCGTAGCAAAGTCGGTTCGAGAAATCTCCAAACGTCTAGTCGAGGACAAAGCAAACAAAGCACTCAAAATTGTTGTATCATAAAATTTATAAATTAGCATAATTGTTATAGCCAATTTAATATAATATGTTGCCATTAAAACGACGCCGAAAAATAAAGGCCTCTTTAATGTGTCCAATTGAAAAAAAAAAAAAATTGTAATAAGTTTAAACCAGGTTCATGACGGTGCTTTGTCTTCTTTTTTCAAATGGCCAGGCAACAATTTATGTTAATATATATTTATGTGTTAACATATCAATATATATTAAGCACTTTTTTTTAAATAATATTTTCTGTCAGAAATAAATTACAAACTATTTAATGAATTTAATTTCACTGGAAAATCGCACACGTGCGGTGGTTCGTTGTATTATTTGGAATTTTACTTGTTTGCACAAGACGTAGAAAAAAACTCACACACATTTTATATTAATATTATTATTGGATACCCATACAATGTCAATTTCCACTCATAATTATCAAATAAATGTACTTTATCATAAAACACTGTTTATTGTTTTGCAAAAAATTCAATTTTGACTATTATCATTATGAACTGCCATTATTTACATTGTGTCAAGTTTAAAATAATATTTAGCCACACAGCAGTGTGTTCTGATTGTATGTATACAATTTAATTCGAAAAAAAAATGATTTTTCCCATTTTGTAGTTTATAGAAAACAAACTAGTAAAAACTAATGAGCTATTCGTTAAATAACAACCAATCATAATTTATTTAATCACCTAAAAAACTTAGTAAAAAGCGCCCACGCAGATTTTCAATAATTTAGCAAAAATCGAGTCTTAAAAAAAAATATATGATTCTATAGTACTAATCTGGTAGTGTTGGAGCACATTATTATGTGTAAATAATTACAAATAACTTACAAACAGCGTGACGAATCAGTTAAACAATCAGTTATAATAAGAAGTTCAATTTGTATACTGTCAAAGTAACTTATAAGACTTCAGATAATATAACTTGGTTTCAAACAATTTTAAAACAAAAGTTGTATGTTTA